TACTGGTTACAGGTACACATGTTATGATTGTAAAGTCATTAACTTCTGCACATTTCTATAGAGATAGCAAGTAAGAGCCAGTTTGTTCAGTTTCACATGACATCCAAATCACATGACCAATTGTAATAAGTTTCTCAATCTGTATTAATGCTTGGTGTATAGGTGCTACAATTTCAGATTAATGGGGCAATTGTTTCTGAAGAAAATATTTTTATGGCGTTTAGTTTTGTGGAAAAATTCTGGCAATGAAAGTGCCCTGACCACTACAGTTTGAACTCATGATATTGGTAGGACATGTACATATGCAAGTGATGCTGCAACACAATTTTCACATCTCTGAGTTCCCCAAAAGTAGACAAAATCGATTTTTTTTTAAATCTAAGATGATGATAAATTGTGATGGATTTTGGAGAAATTGAAGTGCAACCTAGGTGATATAACCAAACTGTCATATCAATGGATCAAATTTGTAGAAATCTTTGCAATTTTTGGTAAAAAAAATGTTATGGTTGACTACTTTTGGTTTGATATAAGCATGTCTGTACCTTGGGTAGACTTCTATTAAACTTGAACATTTACCGATGGTGATGGTATTTTGAATTTTTTAATCTTTACCTGTGTCATTTTTGGTACAAAATATTATTTGACTTTTTCTTAATAACTGCTAGTTTGATTGAATTGATATGGACATAAGAGGATTACTACTAATTCACAGACATATCCTATAATCAAAGTTGATGAATCCATAACTTTGCTACTATTAAACTTATCTAAACACAAGAGTTGAGACACTTATATAGAATGTAAAATGCAAGGTTATTTGTTTCTCCACTGTAATGTTTATGGACATTAAAGTTGCATTCCCATTTTGCAAACAAATTTAAATGCTATATATGAATTCCTATAAGTGATATTTGAAGAAACGAAAGTGCACTTATAACGAGAAATCTGGCCAAAAATGCGAGTAATCAAACTTTCCCGGTCACTGCTGAACCGTTCCGATCATTTTCGGCGATGACCATTCCACAATTGAATGTTAGAACACTATTTCTAGTTCAACATTGTACGCTGATTTGTACGCTGTTTTCTACTCTAAATACTATTCACACAGCGTATTTGACTTGCCAGACGGCATAAAACATTTACAAATATTTTGTTCAGTATTATTCACCTGATAGTTCACCCCCAAATGTGCACTTATTAAAGTGGTGAATGCAAATTGTCTGAATATTTATTAGTGACAGTCAGGGTTTTGAGATGAACTGGCTACACCCTATTGGTCAGATATTGATTGGAATGGACCGTGCACCGATGTTGTTCGTTGGTCTTCAGCTAATAATTTAGGTGGCCCACATAAAATAAAGTTTCAGGGTCGTTTTCTTGTTGTTCGCGCACTATTGTAACTTCAAATATCTCTCATAGTAATCCATATATATTATTTTAAAAATACAAAGTGGGAATGCAACTTTAACATGACTTGCTCTGCTGAAACAGCACTGTTAATTATTTCAACTATCAGGTTGCAGTGCAATTAGTATCCCTAATAAAAAAGTGCAGAACTAAAAAAAACAAAAATTACATTTGCTGTATGATGAATCTGTAAAATATGACTTATTTCGACAATACAAACTCATCTCTGATTAATTCATGTAAGTGCACATACACTACTCGTAAAACAAATATGGCAGCCAAACCATGTGATTGATTTGAATACTATTTTTCATTCATTCATTACATAAATTTATATGATAAGTTTTAAAAAATGATGTTTTTTTTAAGAAATCACATAAACAAAAAAAAGAATTAATTTTTTAAGTATTAAATGTGGTAACTTGCAATATCAATAGAACTAAATTTGTTTGGGTGCATTGAGATTGCATTTCATGATCTCTCTGCTGATTGGACTACTTTATCTCGGTAACCTTTCCTGCTCACATAGCGACACAATTTTTTGAACCCAACATAAAAGCAAATTTAAATTTGATTTTTTCACATTCTTGTAATGTATGCAACTAGGGTGTCACCATAGTAATTTGTCTTTTCATAAAATCCTTCTTTCTTGAATTCAAATTTAATCAGTCTAACATTCTTCATAATTGATTAAATTCCGGACAAACTGGGAATTCCTAATTTGCGCCATTTTATTTAGATTCATTCAAGTGTCTAAGTAGGTTTTCACAATAAAAGTCATTGACGGTTGATTTTTGGCACCAACCATTGTTTGGCAGGATAGGCTAGAGATCATGGCATGACTTTCAAAATTTTTGGCACTAACCATTGTTCAGCAAAGTAGGATAGGTAGGTTGGAGATGATGGGATGACTTTCACAATCAAAGTTATTAAGCATTACTTTTTGGCACCAACCATTGTTCATCAAGGTAGGATAGGTAGGTTGGAGATGATGGGATGACTTTTACAATCAAGGTTATTAACCATTTTTTGGCAAGGTAGGATGGAGGTGTGATGAGGAGACATAGATTATTCAAGCACATTTGACAGCAGTAAATTCAAACTGACTGAATAACTGGTGAAATTTTAATGTATAAATATTATGTTCATATTCATTCTTGTTATGAAATCTATTATAAAAGCAGTCATTTGTAACTAAAGTTAGAATGAAATAGAGATTAGAGTAAAAAGTAATTCTATTGTTTGTTTAGTTTTATGATGTACCAGTAGTAGAATGAGGTGATAGATGTAGACATAAATTTTAGAATCACATAAGTGGGATTCGATTCATTCAGTACAAATTCCACAAACATAATTGAAAATTGGCAATAAAATGACATTTAAATTTGTAAACAGATATTGCTATATCAGATCGTAGATACCAACTGAACTATGGTAATGACTATCGTAATTAATGTAGACATAATGTAGATTGTGTTATATTTCAGGTCCACAGCGCCCTCACAGTGATAGCACTGCCAGTTACAATGTTGATTTACATAGACTACAACATGAGAATGAAATGGTACTAATAAAAGGAAAGGTGAGTGAATTCGTCTGTAATATTTTTATTACATGCCACTCGAATAGTAAACATAACATAAACTTTTGCAAGCATCTTTAACAAACATTCTCAGCAATGGCAATGAGCAATATATGCTTAACCATGTATTGAATTTGTGTGAAAGTGAAGGCATGCAATAAAGAAGTGTAAGATGTCTGCACATCATATCTGTCTTTTCTTAATCTTACTGGTCTTTGATTCTCAGGATTCCGAACGCATTTTTGATTGGCTAAGCCGGTCAAAACTACATGAATACACAAATAACTTCATCAGAGCCGGTTATGATATGGGAACGATATCCAGAATGACACCCGAGGTAAGACTTTGGCATGTTATTTGTGTCCACAATGTACTGTAATTAGATGGAGAAATGTCACCAATAATTTAAATTTGACGTTTGCCGATGTGATAACTCAATGAGTCATGCTTAATGTGTGTATGTTTAACATACTAGGATCTAACAGCTATAGGGATTACCAAACCTGGACACCGGAAAAAAATTGCTCAGATGATTGGACATTTATCTATACCAGATGGTATCCCTGGATTTAAACCTGTAAGTTGAGTGTAATCTGGATGTTCCTATCAGAACGTTTTTGCATATGTATTATCTGAGTAATTTTGACAAAAAAGTTATTGCCACAACCAATCAGAGAATGTATAACATAT